AAGTAAGATTTTTGTGCTGTAACATCCATTGTGACTGTATTGTAACTGTACTGTGACTGTAACAACTATAAGTATATTTCAGTACTCCAGAATCAATAGTCAAGGGCCGTTGACACCAATGCATCGAAAGTTTATTATTATTTATTATTTTGGTACCGAAAGACTCAAAATATCAAAGAAAATATCAAAAATAAATTCAAAAGGTGGGAGATCCAAAAAACTCAAAAACTCCTCTGTTTCAAAAATCTCCGACAGTATTAAAAGGGAGAAGTGCTGAGCATCTTTGAGGCCTGAAACACAAAAAGATAAGCTCATTTGTTGTTCCCAAACTAAAATTGTGATTAATCGAAAATCTCATTGAATTCAGATAGATTGGCAATTTTCCATTATTGTGTTCAGTGCTCGATGTGTGACCCGTTCCGTACGCAACTAATTCGACTTATCGAATTCAAAACCGAGCATTTGGGACTGTACTTCGGATGAATACAGCTTACCCGGAAGAAAGAAAAACGGCTGGGCGAGAGTGAAGAGTGGAATGGAGTCACAGGAGCACGATTGTTCGTGTAGGTTATGGAAAACTCATTAGAATTCTATATGAGATCCCATATGCAGTTCCGCATCCAGTGACGAATAGTGAAGGTTTCAGTGAACGAACTTCGTGGTTTGAAAAAACCTAAAAGACATACGAAGAAAAAAAAAGAAATCTACCCACAGGTTCCGCTGCAAGTAAGGATTGGGTCTACAATGATATGCTAGCATTTCTAGACAAGACAGAACTTCAAGGGGTAAGATTTGGAATATGATCTCTTAGGCAATCCTCGATATTCCTCACTTCGGAAAGACGATCTCAAATATTGATGACGACGGTAACTTTTTTCGTCACGAAAATGCTCCAGAGACAAATTCCGATAATGGAGAATCAGGTTCACAAAGCCCCGCTCAAAGCTACCTAGGAAAAAGACAGAAGAGGGAGGACGGTTAGCTATATGAGAAGTTTAAGTGTTAGAATAATCTTATGATTGTTCTGAATTTTTCCTATAGAGGTGCGCCAGCGCATCAAAGTGTAACAGCTCTGCACCAAGTGCTTTATTGAGCACGGACGAACAATTAGAGACACACCAACTACTGAGGCTTTTATAGGCCATAGCCGACCTATCACTCAATAACAAATCTAGTGTAAACACAATGACAGTTTATCACTGGCCAAGTCTATGGTAACTGTCCTATGAAGAATAACCGGCCATCTACAACACCTCCCCCCTAAGATGTAATGGTGGGAGTGAAAACAATACACGACTACATTCATCTGATCAATAGGATTCATTTGTCTACAAGTAGGACTTCTTCATAGGCTCGATCTGCAGTCGGTTCGGCGGTCGTCGATTGCGTTGTGGTCGTCCATCTGATGAATCGACTCCACTTGGCATTCTGGCAGGATTTGGTGTGGTGTGTTCCGTATTTCTGGCAAAGTCATCATCGAGTGCAGGTGCAATCGTTGAAATTGGGCCCGTCGGCTTCGTAGTTTGAGGTGTTCTTCCGGTAAATCGAAGACATCCGAAAACGTTTGTCTGGTTGGCTAGATATGCGAAGGACGCATTTGATTTGCGTGGCGTCTCTCTACTGTTCCATCCACACAAGGACATCGTACAGTGTGTGTCCGTGACGTAAGAGAACTTTTCCGGGTATCCATTTGCTTCTGCCTCCTTTGAAGTTCTTTATCCAAACAGTATCGTCGGGCTTCAAACGATTTTGCACGGGCGCCATGGTGTCTGTTGAATTGTTTTTCCATGTTCCTGTTTCGTTCTCCATTTTTGTGTCGAGGCATTGTGAGCTGTGTGAGAGGCGTTCGGATTTGATGTCCCAGAAAATTCTCAGCCGGTGGCAGTCCTTTCGGGGCGGATTCACAGGGAGTGATGCGGATAGGTCATCAAGAACTTCTGCAAAGCTTCTCTTGCTATCCCTTCCAGAGCTCTTTCAGCTTCCTCCAAATCCACTCTTGATGTATTCAACTGAATCTCTTCAACTTGTCCGTTCCCGACTGTGCGGTGGTAGGGTGGAGAGCGAATGTGGGTAATGCCATTTTTCTTGCAGAATTCTGTGAACTCCAACGAAGTGAATTGGCTTCCATTGTCTGAGACTAGAGTTTCTGGAAATCCATGAGTTGAAAGTTGAATCATCATCATCATCATAACTGAAGTATGGCAGATCTCGCATAAGATCACCATATGCATCAGGTGACGAAACTTTAGTAGGTGATTGTGAAAATCCCACCTTTTGTTCAACAAGAGTTGCCTAGAATCTCGTTGATGTGCTGGTTTTGCTGTTGCATTTGTTGCTGGAGCTGCTGGTTCTGGTTACTGAAGTTGTTGGTTCTGCTGCTGGATCGCCGCTAGAAACTGCGTCATCCATTGTGGTGTATCCTTCGATGAGACTGGAACGCTGCTCGGCACTGTGGATCCTCAGAGCGTACTGCTGCTGCTGTTTGCTGTGCTGTTGTTGCTGCTGCTGCTGCTGCTGCTGCTGGAGTACTATCTCATCCTGATCGCCAGTGTAACAGCTCTGCACCAAGTGCTTTATTGAGCACGGACGAACAATTAGAGACACACCAACTACTGAGGCTTTTATAGGCCATAGCCGACCTATCACTCAATAACAAATCTAGTGTAAACACAATGACAGTTTATCACTGGCCAAGTCTATGGTAACTGTCCTATGAAGAATAATCGGCCATCTACAACACAAAGCCACTCTGGATGCTGTCAACTCCCACATGAATGCTTGTATTCAAGACAGTAACGAAAAACTCACCACGCCAACAGCGCCCCAAGCACCGGTCCAGGAGAAATCATCAGTTGACAAATGCATACCATTCGGTAACCACACTATTCACTAGTGCATATGTTAGAAACTCATTGTTCGTCTTCAAGGATTCTGGGTTGGCATAAAACTCAAACAGTTTGATAAAAATACCCAAGATTATAAAATGCATCTCATCAATACTGTGTTGCTAACAGATGCATCTGTTGTTATGAATATCGGAGAGCCGGAGAGTATTTATTGGAGGTTAGTGTTCGTTCATGCACTCTCTGAATTCAATGAAATCTCCTTCAGAAATTATACTTATAACTCACAGGCAGCAGTACTTTGAACGGAAATTCTTCAAGGGGGAGCATAAATGTTGTCAAATGGGTTCGGATTCGATCCCTTGCCAACACTGCGGCTTCCACGCCTTCCCCTATGTTGATTTCTTGGAGTGCGTCAAGTTGACGCGTGGGAACTGGGAAGCGCGCTACTCCTTGGAGTGCATCTTGCCTTCTTGCTAAGACATTGTGCAGCACCTGCAGTGGTCGTCGCTTTTAGGTATCAACACTGTAAGACAGAGACCATGAGCTCACCAGCAATGAGGCCACCACCTTCATAACATTGTCCGGCTCCAGCTGCATTGTATTTTGGAGGATGGTGAAACGACGGCATAGAATGCCGAACGTTGACTCGACCACCCGTCGGGCACTAATACGGAGTGATTCAGTAGGATATACCTGGCTACATTTGTGGTTATCACCTGCTATGCTTTCTGATTGAACCTCCGCTTGCTAGCCGTGTCAGCGGTTGCTTGCGCATAGGGCCGTACATAGCGGTGCTTTTGTCCAAAGCCACCAGAATGTGGTACTGGACCGGTCCAACACTACCCAGCTGGCGAGTTGGTGAGAAAACGTGGTCGTTTCTCTCAAAGAAACGCTGAAGTCAAGCCATATAGAACTGCAAATTGCCGTCTTTTTTTAAACCAACCTTAATGGGGGAGTTCATGAAAACTCCAGCATCACCTACTCGGCCTGGCGCCCCTACAGTGAAAGTAAGGATGCGGTAATCGCAGTCCACCAAGGCCAGCAGGATGATGGAGACGTCCTTCTTATAATTAAAATACATGCTGCCAGAGTGGGCAGGTTGCTGAAACGTTTTGTCATAGCATTTTTGGTCATATTTGCAAAACCACTGCCTCTACCTTTATAGATATATGTTTACCATCCATGAACCCAATAGCGCGTGGATAACCATACCGCTGCTGGGTTTTTTCGGCTATGCGCTCCAGGTTCTGTCTTCTAGCGGGAATGCTTGATCCCAAAGAACTGAATCGGAATATATAAGGAAATTATGAGAGTGCTGCTAGATTGTCTCACCGCTATTGATTGTGTCTGCAACTTCATACACAATCTGACTGACTGTGGATTTCCCACAGTGGACTTCTTCGGCGAGGGAACCGAACGCAAAACCACGGCCCGCAAACCTTAACCTCTATCTTAATGAGCGCGTACAAGTTTTACAGTTCAAACTAGGTTTCACCTCAAAAATATGAAAACTCTTTGGCAACCGCTTGATAGGCGACGCATGTGATCTTATGGAGCAGGTGCCCAGCCAGACGCTCGTAGAGATCTTCGAACTCCGAAGGAGTTAGCCTAGTGTAGTGCGTGAAGTTTTGGCTATCAACGCAGCTAGGTATTCGTCGAAGGTTCTCATCCTGTTCATTAGGAAGGGTCTATGCTCCATTTGGACGTATCTTCTTCTTTGCTCCTCTGCTTGTAAGTCCTCATCCGCGTGCTCCAACTCAACAAGAGCGTTCGACAAAGCAACATTTTGAACTGAGCCATATACTCAAATGAAATTTTACATCCTTCACTATGATCCTGTCCTTAGTGTCTACTTTCAGAGCGTTCACTGATTCGAAAGCACAAACAGACGTTCTCTTTGAAGAGAAAGTTAGTAGTGTCTGTACATTTTGAAGTCAATTCTTCAGTCTAGTGATCTTCATCTAGGACGTCGCAAGATTATCTGTGAGCCTGTGCTCTCATCTTTGATTTGATGAATTTATATGTTATCCCCTTGCGTATTTTTCTTATTGTTTATCATATTTATAACGGGCGTGTTCACGCTTGCATACATTGTTGTCACGAATTTTTTCCCAATAAAGTGAAGTCTGAAAAAATAAACGTGTTCTTATGGCTAAGATATTGAGCAACCGAACTATTAGGAATTCATAATAAAATTGTTCAACGTTCATGTGACCTGATCTTTTTCTCATTTTCATATATAAAAACTACAATGTAAGCGCTCCCAGGTGCGAATACTCTGCAAATTTAGAGAAACGTTAAGGCCGTGTATGCAAAAATTCTTTCTACTCCCTTGGACAAGATGCCTGTAACTCTGCGGTTGTCCCACTTCACTTAAAGGAAGCGGTCACGCTGGCTTCCACGCTGGATTTGCTACCCTCGCGTTATCAATCGATAAGGTGTGAGGCAGTAATTGTTGGACGAGTGTAAGCCCATGGAAGATATGATACGATGAGATAAGAAGGTGCGGCTGCTTGATAAGAGGTGCACTCCAGAATGAAAACGGGACGATAACGATAACGGTATCATATCTAGCACGCTCTTATCGCACCCCTTTCCACATCGATAAGTCTTGGTTTTTGCTGAACGGAAGTGGATTTCGGCGCCTTATCACTCCGTTGATAAGGCGCCACTGCCACTGAAACTTCACGTGTTGTAACACTGGGCAGGACCTCTATCCACTCCAATACAAGCCCAGCAGAGGGGAGAAACGCCAGGGAGCACGCATTGCTTGCATCTTCCCATAAAACCTTCCCCTGCCTAAGGCTCAGTCCCAAGTACAGTAATTGGCTCACTCACTGGGATGTCCCCCCCCAAGGACATGAGCGCCGGTGCAAATTGAGCTCTAGGTAATTAATGATTTATGTAAATGTTCACAAGGAAACAAAATGTTAGTTTAATCATTTAGGAGAGACAAAAATCATGAAGACACAACGTTGAGTCAAGAAAACAAGCTAGTTTAGCCCAAAATTCGGAAACAATGCCAACTTTTATAAATCAACACTGGTCGCTTAATATCCTACTCGCCAGCGATTTCAGTCAATATGTATCTGATATGTTCAGCGGAATCGCCTACTATCCTACTATCCTACTCTCCTACTATCCTAATCTCCTACTCTACTACTATCCTACTATCGTAATATCGTAATATCCTACTCTCCGGCGATTTCAATCGATACGTATCTAATCTTGTCAGCGCAATCTCCTACTCTACTACTATCCTAATCTCCCCGTCAATACATATCTTTTTCATTGTCGCGTACTATCCTAATCTCCGGAGTCGCGAACTATGAACGCGGCCTAATCTATTACTCTACTGTTATCCTACTATCGTAATATCGTAATCTACTACTCTCCAGCGATTTCAATCGATACGTATCTAATCTTGTCAGCGCAATCTCCTACTCTACTACTATCCTTATCTGCCGCTAACCTTTTTCATTATCGCATTCTATCTAATCTCAGAAGTAGCAAAGTATGAACATGGTCTAAGTGTAATAAAATTCAGTATTACACTTACCCAGGTATTCGCAGCTGTATCCATGGTTGCTGTAGCGCTCGCATTCGTCTCTGTGAGATTCCGAAGCGAGAGACGGCCAGATCAGGGTCCGGGGAGGGAACATTTCCGACGTAACTCCTTTTCATATGAAACGCCGAGAACAACAGATTCATTCCTGTCTCAACACGTTGCCACATGAACTTCCGGGATAAAGCTTGTCTGTGCGTTAGGCGTAGTTACGTGGTGGTTCAAAGCTCCTCGTCACAGTCGGGATCTCAAACCGCATTGGATCCCAAATCGGGAATCACCGACAATGTGAGGAACTCCCAAAACAACACCGGCACGAGAATAAACCAATCAGAGTACACCCACACGCCAAAACGACGTCTTTTTTGTTTGGAAAACGTCGAATTGCGAACAGTGAATTCAGCACAAATGGATGGAGTTGGGGCATGGTGGCTAATTGGTTGGGAATCTCGGATCTATTCGGAAATGCTTTTACTGTCTTTTCCGAATTCCCTTGCTCTTTTAAGTCCTACCCAAGGGAAAGGAGGATCCAGCGGTTGCCGCGGACCAATCTGGTCTGCGTGTAAAATCGGAGACTTATGGTAAGTATGGTACTTATGGTTATGGTAAGTCTCCGATTTCACACGCATACTAGATTGGTCCCCGGCAACCGCGGGACCCTCCTTTCCCTGCAAAGCTTGGCATTCCTGCTCCTCCCCCTGCTCTCCAGCTGCCACTGCAGCACTTTGTAAAGCGGCTTGCAAGGGTACTGAGTATGTTGTTATATAGTTTTGGTATATCAATATCACGCTTGTCGTAACCCTCAACACTCGGTATCGAAATGGTGGACTTGTTTTATAACTGTGATACTGTCTGCCTCGGGGTGTCTATTGGTGGCAGATGTTTGCTATCGTTTCGACGTCCGATCATTTTTTGAAGCCTGAGCGTGGATCATAATCCTAAAGTCACGAGTCGCATTTAAGTGACGAGAAACAATCCTCGCGCGTTTTCTCTAGTGCGAGATACGCACTCCACAGAGACGTACCATGCTTAAATTCCTGAACGGCGCGTATCACGCTCCATGTATGTTCATCAGATGCTTCTGCCGCCTGGCAACGGCTACGCGAGCGCCCTCTCGGAGGTGGTGCTGGCTAGCATCAACGTGGTGAGATCAGCTCGGGTAGTGCCGGAATCAGCCGATGGTACGGAAGCCAGGCAATAGCCAGGCATAATCAGACAACATTTCGTCGTACGTAATAATCTCTCCAAGCCTCCCTCACTGCTAGAAGAGAAGGGGTTTCGATTTCAGTCTTGTCGACGGTTTTTTGCGTTTTTTCTTTACTGTCGTTCCACTTCCCATCTCCACACTCATTTTCATGCGCCATATACGCCCAAAATCGAGCCCGACTTTTGCCTTTTAAGAAACTACACACTACCCCAACAATGCCTCTCTTCAAGCGTTTTCTGACGTCCTTGTCAGCGATGCACGCTGTACCCAGAACTGAAAAGATAAACTCATCTTGTCCCATCGCGAACTGTAGCGAACTACTACACTCAATTCACAAAAGTTTCATCAACGTTTTCACGAACCCCACTCCCGTTGGTTTGAAACTTGAAACTTTGAAACTGAAATGGTTCTAGTCCCGCCTGGGGCGAAAGTTTTTTCACAACCCAGCATTCTTGTGAAACATTCGCAAGGCGAACTGCGGCCAAAAACAGCAGTTAACAAACAAAAACAAAGTCAAAAATCTTCACACTCAGTATTCATTTCTAGCGAATGATGTTGCTTGCTGTTCTTATGAAGTGCGGACAAGCCGTTTGCTAATTGTGGGAGGAACTCGCAATGTTGCATGAATGACAACGAGATCATCACGAGATTTCGTTCTGGATTTCAAACAGAAACCTAGAAATGAAAGACCGAAACAAGTGTGTCTCCGTTACACATGATCTCATGCCATTTATGCAGCATTACGAGTTGCTTCCATGACTAGCGAACGTGCTTATCCACAATATTAAAACTCGAGGCTGTGCTGGGGCGAGGGGGGGAAGGTAATACAAAGCACATCCTAATGGATTCAATCCCACTTACTAAATACGAACAAAATGCTTCCAACTTAGTATTGAAGAGCACATTTCATTCATAGAAAAGCCTTCATAGTGGCCATCTACGTGGACGGCATCAGAAAATTTGCCCTGGAAACATGGTGCACTGGTCGAGCTCAATGGGGTCTCTCGAAGGATCGTGTACCATAACGACCTTTACTGGAAAGCTAGTTCCGAGGGGATTTGCATAGTAGAGCTAATGTAACTATCCTACTATATATAAGCGGCTAGCGTGTGTCTGTTGGTGTGTGTGTGTTTGACCGGAAATTCATAGCTCGAGTCACAGTAACGATAGCGCAGTGGTTCTTACATATGTTATAGGGGGTGGGATGGGGACACAAGTGGTACGTGATAGGAACTGATAACGACTGATAATAGCTGATAAGAGGGGCTAGAAAGCGAGCATCGCCAATTTCGTTTTGTCGTTCATATTGGTACTAGAGCGTCTATACTTACAAGTGTTATGTGGGGTGGTCCCGGGACATTGGTGGTACATGACTGGAAGCGATAGCAACTGATAATGGCTGGTCCAACAATAAATGGTTTTACGAAAACAAGTAAAAACTTCAGGAAGAGGCGATTACGGCATGTACTTTTGAGCAAAACGAAGAAGGCGATGAGGTCATATTCTGGAGGCAGTGAAGAGCAGTGAGAAATGTGCACTTCTCAAGCTTCAAGTAGTCCATTTGGGGGAGGGGGGGGGGAGGGGAGGGGCTGGCCACTCTACCATGGATGAGCAATAAATGATCCTTTTAAGGATCACTTGTTTTCGAATTTACTCATCTACCCTCCTATAAACATATCCCTTATATAAGCACGTGTGTAGCACGTTTAGTATAGTTCAGAATATGTGTTCTAAATGAAGCTTCTTCTTTACGAATCCCGACGTAACAATTTTCTCCACTTCTGTACTCAAGATAAGGATGAGAGCGCTCATGACACGTAGTCGATCATTTCAAGTGTACCTCCTCACAAAAAAGTGTACTGAAACGGTCCTGGACCAGACAACGTAAGGGTGTAGGGCTCCAGAGTGGATCACCTGTGCAGAAAAGTGGATGGGATGTGGGCAGGTAGTGTGGAATGTAGGACATCCACCGGTCCTTATCAAAAGTACGCTCGAAATGAGTCGTTCACTTATTATCTTATCCGTAGTGTTCGATAGCCCAAGTGCTCTCTAGTACTACGGATAAGATAGCAAAGAGTGTCCCCTCCCCCTCGAACTCACCGCTTTGAGCCATATTTAGGCATTTGAAAGCGACGGGACGGTCGAAACGTTGGCCAAAATTACCTTGTACCATAACAACTTCAAGGCAGAGCTGTATGACTGCATTGTCACAGCCTAATTGATCAAATACTTGGTCCAAGAGTGTCTAAAAGTCTTACCAGACAGGTGACATTTATGCGAGTAACAAATTGGAGAGCACTCTGCACACAAGGTTAGAATGTTACCACTCACACTGTATTTATCAGGACCCTCCTATCTATCCCCTCTCAACTTCTAGAAACAGACCACTTAGTCAGAGATCGTTTGGAGGCACAGCTCGGGCTCAGCCTGCATTTCTACAAGGGTTGATGACGGTCGAGGGATCCTTTACGGAGGTCGCACTTGTCCCATTGAAAGAGGGAGCTGTATTCGAGATTTTTGAGGGCCGTAAATGGGGAGAGGTTGAGGATGTTGAGAGACAGGTTGGGAAACTAACCAAGTGGCGTAGAGTGTGTCAGGTTGAACCAGCTTCAATCACACTTTTACACCATCGACAAATGATCAGAGTGGTCGTTTCGATTCACCATATGATCTCATTGCGCGGGGAGAACCCTACAGATTTCCTTCATTTCGGGTCCTACTGCTGCAGCCATTTCATTGAAGTGATTTTCATCCTGGCTTCTACTCTTATAGTTTGAGTGGTACCACTCCTCAGATGTGTTCTGGTTGTTTCTCTAGTCCAGCTTCAGATGTCTCGTTGCGGTAATACGCGGCGTGTTGTGCATTATAAGCGGACAACTGAACATCCGGATAGGGTTCATACTTGTTCTCGAAAAAAGCGCTGATTACAGCGCTACATCGCATGACTCGATTTTCCTTCCAAACGCCTCTGAGAATCGAACATGACTTCCATTCAATTCTAAGGCGACCTCCGCCATTGTTCTGAAAATCTTGAAGGTGGA